AAAGGGAGTTTTTCCTTCCCACTGTCGCCAAAGTGCTTTTTCATAGGGGGTCATATGATTGTTGGGCTTTTCTCTGTATCTATTATTATAGGATAAACTGTACAATGTAAAGCACCTTGAGGTGACTGTTGATGCGATTTATAAATAAAACTGAATTGAATTGAAGTGATATATGAACTTATAGCATGAAGAAAATCAGAGCAACACATCTACTTTCATTAGTTTTCTGAGATAAAACAGACTGCATGTATGTCCGAGTCTAAATCAGGGTCAGTGAACACAGCACGGGAGATGTACGTCATTAGCCTACATGATTGACACAGATGACAAGAGATGAATCCTGACCAATCCTGGCACCTGTCAAGAACAGGAAGGTGGACACAGAACGCTGCGTATTCCAGGAAAGGCTGGCAAATGATTTTTTGGTGTTGGAGTGTTGGAGACAGTATCTGTATGCAGTTTGATGCTGAGAAGCATCAGGACATTCACAGTGCTGACAGTGAAGTAGCTGCTCACCCTGAAGTAGACGATGAGCAGCAAAGTTTGCAGCCAGCTGAGGAACAATATCTAAATAATCTACAGCCTGTGATCTGAACACAGCACATAATGATCGTGTTTCACAAAGCTTTGCTGAATAAAGGTGTCATCACTTTTGTTTTTTTGCAGATTATCATTGTACAGGTGAGCTCTGCTGATCTCTCCACCTTCTTCTACTTCTTGACACCTTTAAGTGACATCATCCAGGTGTGTTTGTGCTGATGCCTACAGGTGTGTGTGTGTGTGTGCAGGTAATACCCTGGAGGCACTAAAGGTGAACATGATGAATGTTTCAGGCTGCTGTGATGTTGGTGTGTAACATGTTCTAATCAGGCCCAGATACAGAAACCATTTTAAAACACAAATTTATATTTTACAGTCTTCTTCTAAATCTTTGTAAACAAACTGAATCATTTTTTAAAAATAAAGTTTGTTTTATTTTGAAAATCATCAGAGTGGAAACTGATGACGATAAACATTATTGTGAAGAGTCTATAAATACTGATCATTGATTGGAGCTGTCTCCAGCTGTTTGTAGATCGTTTTGCCCTTCAGCTGCCTGGATACTGATGACATCATGGGGTGTGACCTCTGTGATTGGCTACTCTGTGTTAGCGCTCAGCTGCTGCTACACATTCAGTCGGTTTACTCACACACACAGTTTAACGGTCACAGAGCTGCTGATGAAGATGAAGGAGCTGCTCCTCTTCCTCTCCTGTGTCCTCTGTGTCTCTGCCGATGGTGAGTTTGTCTCGGTAAACTCTGGCAGGCAGGCAGCAGCTTATTGATCGGTGTTTCATTTCAGCTCTGCACGGTGACGTTCATATAAACGGCTGTTCAGACTTTGATGCAGAGGACATGTATGGACTGGATGGGGAGGAGGTTGCCTACGCAGACTTCAACTACCACACGGAAGTCTACATTCTGCCTCCTTTTGCTGATCCTATGACTTACCCCGGAGCTTATAAACAAGCTGTGACTGAGCTGAAGGTCTGCAGACACAACCTGAAGGCTCTTGGCGCGGTGATGAAGGACTACCCTTCCAATAACCGTAAATACAAGCATGTCTGTCTCACCTGTGTTTACCTGAAATGATCAGCGATGAAGTAATCAGTCCAATCAAACACAGCCAGTGAAACAAGCTGATTAAAGATATGAAATCATTCCACCTTAAACACATTCAGAAACCCAACACTGACATGTTTCTATTTGTGTTTCTATTAAAGACCACAATTTATTTTTCTTCATTAGTTTCTCTGAAGCTGAACTGAGTCTGTCTGTGCTCCTGTTTCTCTAGTTTTACTTCATGATTCTGACGTCAGGCTGGTTTCTCTCACACAGACAATGATCATCTCAGTGAATGACTGAACAAGTTATTGATGTTTATTATCATCACGATCACCTGCTGATGTGTTTGTGCACAGATGCTCCTTCAGCTGTGATGATCTACACCAGAGATGAGGTGGAGTTTGGAGAGGAGAACACTCTGATCTGTCACGTGACTGGTTTCTATCCTGCTCCTGTCAACGTCTCCTGGACCAAGAACGGACAGAAGGTCACAGAAGGATCCAGCACCAACGTTCCCTATCCCAACAAAGATGGACCCTTCACCCAGATCTCCAGACTGCAGTTCACCCCACAGCTGGGAGACATCTACAGCTGCGCAGTGCAACATCTGGCCCTGACTGAACCACTGACCAAGATCTATGGTGAGAAAACTTTATTTAAACAAAAAACACTGACAGACAAACACATGTGAAGACTGAGGCCAGTGTTCATCAGAGCAGCTGGATCTGATCTGATAGTTTGACACGATGATTTTTGTCACACATTTTGGAGCCAATATGATCATCTTATCCCACCAACGATGGGAACAGAATAATACATATCATATGAACAGTAAGTAAGAACATACAGAGAACAGCAAGACGACACAGAGCAAAGCAAGCAAAGCAAACTGTGGGCTGTAGAGCAACACAGAGACAGAAAGAGCAGAAGTCTCCGTGGCTTCTCTTTATAGAGGCCAGTAACTCCACCTGCTGCTGCTGCAGGGTAACTTTCCACTTGTCCTCCAGCCAAAAACAGCTGGTGCTGGGTCAGGTACTGGTCAGGTACTGGTCAGGTACTGGTCAGGGGCTGGTCAGGGCTCTGGATCAGGGTTATCTGCAGCTGGGTGCCCTTTGATGAACTCTTTGCTTTGCCTTATCACAATAGGTCACGACATAGTCAAACACCACATATTAATCCTAGTTGTTAAATCTCACAACAAGCAGAATGCATCAACAGGTGCTCTGACAGCAAGTGGCATAATCTTATGATAAACATGTTAATAATAGTTGACCTAATTATATAGGTTATATCGTATTGTAATGATCGTTAAGGTGACTTTACTGTGATGTGTTCAGTATCTCTGTTACAATGTTACCACCTTAATAACCCACGGCGAGGGCAAAAAGTCTCGTGCTTAAGAGGCTACTTGAAAGTTACAGTATATATGTTCACTGCACATAGATATACAGTGCATATAGTTATATACTTTCCCAACATTCCCCCGGTCAACCAATTTAAGACGAATGAATTCCTGTTCGTTTGCAAAGCACACAACACAGCATCCCTAAAAGAATTCTCAAGAAACTTAAAACCAGTCTAATTATAGGAAAATGAAAATAAGAAACATACCAGTAGACACAAATTACATACGTGGATTACATGACAACATATGTGAAATTGATATAATTAAACAATTAATTCCCAGTTTTGGATTTCATCTTGGTGCAGCTTCTCTTTCTGAACAAAGGGCTCAGTGTGAGCTGTGAAATGTCCTTTGATAGCTTCAAGGTTAATTCTGGAGTTCCACAGGGCTCAGTGCTAGGACCAGTTCTGTTTACATTACACATGCGTCCTTTAGGTAACACCACAATAGGCACAACATACCTCCGTCATGCAGATGACACCCTCCTCCATGTGTCCAACACACACCAGTCAACCTGCAGGAATGCCTCCAGAAAACAAAGACCTGGATGACCTCTAACATTTTGCTCCTAAACCAAGATAAGACTGAGTTTATTGTCCTAAAGAACCTCAGACATATATGGTGTCTAACCAGATACTTAGTCTGGATTTTTAACCAGGATCTGTCCTTCAATGCACATATTGAAAACTGCTTTCTCCCATTTTTGCACCCATGCTTCTATCTCTAAAATTAGAAATATCCGGTCTCACAGTGACTGGCAAATGAGTTCATGCATTTGTTACTTCCAGGCTGGACGACTGTCATTCATTATTATCAGGATGTCCTAAAAACTCCCTTCAAGCATGCATACTGACAGGGACTAGATGACAGAGTATATCCCTGTCATCAGCTCTTTATTAAATCTCTCTCCATTACAACACTTCGCTCTCAAACCTCAGACTAACTACAATATTTAAATTAGAATGGGAAGCCTGGCCTCCAGTTTCCAGGAGTAATTATTAGTTATGAGTTATGGTCAATCTCTCTCTTCCACAGCATGGGCGGGGGCAGGGATAGCTCAGTAGGTAGTGTGGACGCCCCCACTGAACGGCTACCCTGAGGTACTCCTGAGGTCCCTGCACACTGCTCCCCGGGCGCCTGATTTTTCTGCTGCCCACTGTTACACCGAGTTAAATGCAGAGAGAGTAATTTCCCCACGGAGATCAATAAAGCATACGTTATTATGTGTTTTGTCCTGTCGCCTTCTCCTCACCCCAACTGGTCACAGACGACCACTCTCCCCTGTGCCTCGTTCTGCTGGATGTTTCCTCCTGTTCAAAGGGAGTTCCTCCTCTCCCTCACAAAGTTCTTGCTAAAAGAGGGTCAGATAAACTATCTTTGTTAATGTTTTATTATTATCATTTACCATTACATTATAAATGCTTGAGATGACTGGTGTCATGAGTTCGTGCTGTTTAACCTTGAGCTGAATACACTACAGCATGGCAGCCTTTGTTCTTACAGTAAAGGAGCCATTGAAAAGCTAAAGCAGCTGTATTAGACTAATCATACAAATTTACACAGACATGCATGAATTTCAGTTTACAGACAGTCATACGAAGTTCCCTAATTGGACCTTGTTACATATTTGGGTGGTTGACTCTGAGGCAGACAATTTACGCTATAGATTGAACTAAGACCTTACAAATTTAAGAAGCACAATGACAACATTCAACAATTAGACTTAACAACCTCATTTCCCTTAATTTGAAATAATACATGTAATTGAAATCCTTCTGGTTTGCACTGTAATACATCAGCACACACAGGAGCTCTGAGTCAGCTCAGCAAAACTTTAAATGAGACAGTGAGAGTGAGGAGGTCCGACAGATATTTGAGGATGCAGCTGAGGGCAACATCAATGAACTCTGTCATTGGATATATTGGAAAATGCATGGACGATGTCATCACTAAGACCACCGTCTGCAAATATCCAAATCAGAAACCCTGGTAGATAAGGACATTCTTGCTAAGCTCAAAGTGCGGACCTCTGCCTTTAACTCAGGGCATTCTGATGCATATAAAGCAGCAGGTATGACCTCTGAAAAGGGCCACAAAGGACTACAGGGACAAAGTGGAGTCCAGCTACCACAGCTTTGACGCCAGGCGACTGTGGGATGGACTGACTGCATCACTGACTACAAGAAGGAAAACACAGGCAGTGTCCAGCCCACAGCGTCTCTCGCAGACGAGCTCAACAACTTCTATGCTCGTTTTGTTTCAGACAACGAGGAGCCGCTCCTCTATCCTCAGGAGCACAGTGAGGCTGCAACTTTAACTCTGAAAACAGAAGCTGTGAGATGGACCTTTAAAAAGGTAAATTCTCACAAAGCTCCAGGACCAGACGGCATCCCAGGCCGGGTTCTCAGAGCATGCGCCGACCAGCTGGCAGGGTGTTCACCAACATCTTCAACCTCTCCCTGAGGCAGTCAGGGGTCCCCACATCCCTCAAAACAACCACCATCATTCCCATTCCTACGACAGCAGAGGTCTCCTGTCTGAAATACTACCGCCCTGTTGCACTGACATCCATCATCATCAAGTGCCTTTATTGGCTGGTCAAAGGTCACATCTGCTCCTCCCTCCATGTTACATATCTGCAAAGTTTGGCATGAACGCCAACATCCCTTCAAATTTCTACAATCTAAGACCGAGAGCTTGCTGACGAGCTGCATCACAGTTTGGAACAGAAGCTGCTCTGCAGCAGCAGGAAACCACAGAGCATCACCAGCATGAGGCTTCCTGCCACTCAGGATGTTTATCTCCAGCAGTGTCTCAAAGCACACAGCATCATCAAGGCCCACAGCCACTCAGCACATCAGCTGTTCTCCTTGTTACCATCTGGCAGACGTTACAGGAGTCTGTCTGCTCGGACTACAAGACTCAGAAACTCTTTACCATCAAGCTGGCACCACAACACATAATCCCTAAAGGATGTAACGTTTATGTAAATCCCTCAGTGCAGGTCTCATCCCTTCAATAATGTGATGCTCATTGGGGCCATTGTCTTAGCTTCTTTAAATAAAGTTAGCATAGCCATATAAACCAGTCTGTCCCATGTGTAACTGGGGTTCTGATCCAGTCTGTGTATTTTGTTAGTGTCAATAAGAGTCGTGTCTGCACCCTTTATCTATTAAACTTTTACTGTCATTGTTGTCATGAACATATAAATACAGAGGAATGAAATACGTAACACAAGGGCTGGAGCTCTGGGCTTTAATCTTAGGAGTTTGTTGGGAGGATCACTGCTGCAGCTGCTCCATGTGGTCCACTGCAGATCTGATGGATAGTTAGGTGATAGTTGTTCCCCTCTTACGCCTGCCGACCCTTAGACGTCGTCCTCCGCCTGACTCCTCCACTCCACCTTTGTGCAGGCCCCATCGGTGACCCAGGCCTGGGTACTGCCGGTGTTGCTCCTCCACCTGGCCTGGTGATCTGTGTTGTACCCTTCAGTTGGTGAGCTCCTTCATCTGTGAGCAGTTATCTGTTTTTCTTCATGTCAGGAGAGTCGTTATTGCGAGTGTGTGCAAACATCAGTTAGTAAGTAACTGTTTTCTCTCCCTGTGAGCTCGACCTCTTCTTACTCTCCCTTTCTTTAACTTCCTTTTCCTCTCACTTACATGTTTCCTCTTTCACAAACTGTCTAATCACACTCTCCAGTGTGTGACTTCCTACATCTCTTACTTTCTCATTCTCAGTTTATTCCTTAAACATATAAAGTGCAATTTAGTTCTTTTGTTGGGCAGTAAAATCCCTCTGATGTTGTGGGACTCTCAAAAACCTAATTCCTGGTTCAAGCCTGACACTCTGTCAGTGTTTCATGCTCCTCTGATGCTCTTTGAAATGTCGTTTCTATTTTAGCTATAGAAGAATACACACAGTCTGACCAGCATCAAGGCAAGTGTTTCAGATACCACTGATCTCTTTATAATTCTCTCCCACACAACACCTAACTGTGCTCTTTCTGTCCCTCCTAAGACCCTCTCTCTCTCTCTTTCATGGCATTTTTAATCTCTCTTTGCTATTTGGGCTGATCGGGACCTGATGAGTGTAGAAACAAAGAATTACCTGATTTTTTTTAGATCCACACATGAGGACATTTGTTTTAAATGCTGATCGAACAGTGACAGAATAATGTCTGTAATGATCCAGACAACCTAAAATGTGATGTCCACATATGTGGAGGTTAATCATCTATTCTAGTGATTCAAAGCTATAACTTGATCAGTTCTGCATCACACAACTGTTATTTCTGTTTTTCTTTTCCCAGACAGATATTTTTGTTCTTTGAATTTAAGTGTTTCTTTTCCTCTAAAATGCTCAAGTGTAGCTACTTTGCCTTAATTCCTACTTGTTTGGGAAGAGCTGTGATCCAGCTGTTTGAGTGTATTTTAATTTCTTATATTATATTTGGAGATGTATTGTTTCCACTTGCCCTGATCACCTCCTGTGTGTATTTAGTGTGTGTTTCTTTCACTCTTTGTCAGGTCGTCTGTGTATTTTCCCTCCATGTCATAGTGCTCATAATCATCATAGTTTTTCATAGTTACCTCATTCTTGGGGATTTTTTGTTGCTTTAACTAATTTATTATCAACAACCATATAAAATTATGCGTAAAATGCACGACTAATGTAAAAAATTGTGTTTTGTCTTTATATACGTATCTCCTTTATATACTCTCTGTGTGTGTTTGTGTCTCCAGATGTGGAGCTTCATGTTTCTCT